TTTTATTGTAAAGATATTTTTCCCTAGATATACAGATTACATCTATTTCCATATAATTGAAACATATTGGTTCTTATCCTATCTTTTGAAAGAATTCTGAAAATTTCTCTCTACCTTCTATATTGTAAGGCAGGCCTTTAGATACATGAAGACAACTATCTCTATCCACTTGGTTCTGTCAATATCCTTCTTAGAATATGATGACCAGAACTGGATGCAATATTCTAAGCACAGTACAATCAATGCAGAATAAAGAGGAACAATGAATTCATTCACAGTTGATACAGTCTAGGTGTCATGGTTCCAACAGAGGAGAGCAGTAGAAATAAGAACTCTGAGGCAATTGCTTTCCTCAAAGAACACTTTTAATGGCTACATAATATCAGCACGAACATAGGTGAAATCAAGGCTGAAAGTTGCCCCACCCCTTAGCGTGTCATAAATCACTATCCCCAATTAACACCTTTAGCGGGCTTCCTAACGGTAGCTCCAGCCCGCCAAATGTTAAGGCTGCTTGACCTTGGTTCCCACAAGAAAGTTATTGTTTTGACTAAACTATAATAATACATCTCTCCCCTCCCATTGCTGTGGCAACCGAAAAGCAAAGAAACATGGCTGAATTCAGAGCATTTGAAGGTTTGACACTAGGACTATATTTGTGTTGTTGTTTCTTTGTTAGTTCATGAACCTGCATCATAATCATGAAAAATGTTCAATTTATGATCAAGACAGCCAGAAAATGTTCACATGTGTTGCTGTCAGAACAGTTCTCCCCATCCTATACTAATGACTTCATTTTTTTTCCTATGTAACTTTTTAATCATTGGGAAGAAACAGAATCCTATGCAAATGTAGGATTTTCCAATTGTCTCTGCTGATACATTTTTTGATGCTCTGTGCCCAATGTTTCAGCTTGTCAAGGTCCTGCTAGATCTTGATACTCTCCAATAAAATGTTTGCTATGTCTTATTTTACTGTGGCCTGTAAATCTGATAATTATATTTTCTAACCCATCATCCAAATAATTTACAGATATGTTGAATAGCACAGGATCTAGAACAGAGACCTTTGAGAAGCCACTCAACACATCTTTATGGAAAGTCATATTTTATGAATTCTAACCAATTCTTCCCTTTGGTTTAAGGTGCTGCCTCTTCTAATAGATTGTTTTTCACTACATTGTTAACAGCCTGCCAGTACATCTTAATTTGGGGAGTCACTGATAGAACATATTGGTTAAACCCTCTAGTGTGAACAAAAACCCAAATGATTTAAATTTTGTCTCTCCCACCCTCTCTTTGCTTCACTGGAACGTAAGGCCTCCAAATAATGGCTTAACATACAGAGGAGTTATAAAAATTACCATACATGCAAAGCTGGTTGAACCCTTGAAAGGCTAAGTACAATCATTGTTTCATTACTTTTTTTTTGTATAAATGGTAACCGAGACAAAACCTATTCACTGTAGTTCAGTCTCCTTATATAAACAACAATTCTCTGAATCCTTTAATGGAAGTGGATTTCTGTACTATTATGAGGAAAAAGAGGTTACAGCAGGATTTCTGATTAAGGAAAAGTAGGGGAAAAAACATTGCCCTTGTCAGAAAGTCATCATCCAGAGATATTAATTTATAAGTGCCAACTGAAAAGAGATTAATGTGTATTTACTTGTATAATTATATGTTGCCTATAATCTTACACCTTTCTACCAATGCCATTAAACTAATGGAAAACATAGCTATAGGAGCATGCCAGGGTTGATAAATGTCAGGCTCAAGTTACATATTCACTGATTTCTTTCACTTCAGCGCAACATGCCATCTAATGTGCATTACTACTCAGCCTTTTAAATGGGTTATTCCAAACACATTTACTGCAATTTAGTTTAAAAGCAGCTTTGATTATTCATCTAAAAGTAAAATGGTAACCCATACCTTAACTTCTCTGCCATTCGATATGTTAAACAGCCATCATTCCTTAAACCTCCTTTAATAAAGCACACTGTTATTAAAGCACTACGGTATGCCCTCTGGAGCAGAGAAGCTCCATTAAATTTGCTTATGTCTAATTATTGCTGCCCTAGGCAGGTGAGAAATTTAGTCTGATAAGATCTTTCTTTCTACCTGTAGCCAAAAACTAAAAAAAGAGGCAGACATTTTCTATCTAATTACTATCTACAACTATGTATGGTATTTGTGCTCTGAAGAAAAAATGCCACAGAAGGTTCTTTGTATATCAGTAAGCACATTCCAACTTGTTCCAAGCTACTGAGATACAAAGAGAAGTTTATCTTACTTAAGGGATGACACAGGTCACTGGCAAAATAGCCCCTGCGGTCATTTCTACTGTCACTCAGAATCTGCCCATTTCTCTCCCCTCCCTTTTTTTTTAAAAAAAGAAAGGGGTTTGGATTGCACATATAGTGATAACTTGCATTTTGTAGAGTTTGGGCTTAATCATAAGAACATTCTAGAGACATTAATTGCCAAGTTTATACTGAAAACCCAACTGATCCTCAATGACCACAATTTGGAGGAGAAAAAAATAATTAATTTCAAAATATTTTTAAAGATATTCTTTCCTAGGTGGACCAGCGTTTACAATTAGTAAAGTACTAAATACAATAGAAACAATAAAACAATGAGGCAAGTTTTTGAAAGCCATAAGAATGAGACAGCATAATTTAACTTGTTTAAATTTCCCAGGCAAACAGAAATGTGTTGTCTTCTCAACAAAGACCTGATAATTCGGAACTAGCTGCACTTTCATATAATACTTCAAAAAAACAGTCATAGCTAAATTCCTAATTTGGGAAAAAATATGTAAAATTTGGGCATGGAAGCCAAGAGGCAAAAAGAGTTGTCCGTTTGGACTTGATATAATGTGATTCTACCTAGTCATGCATATACCAACTTTGTCCTTTACTTGAGGCTTTCAGCTCATCTTCCAAGGCCACATTACACTTGAACATAGAACACTGTGCATAGAACACCGTTTAAGCAGCAAAAGTTGTATAAATGTATGAATGCAGGCTGCAAGTCTCAAAAGGAGATTCAGAAGCAGCACAACATATGTACTTGAAATTGCAACCATTTCATAGCTAATTCTGGAACATAATAAATATCTATCCCCAAGCCCCGGGCACGCGGCCCACTATTGGGCTGAGGCCTATTAGGAATTGGACCGCGTGAGTGGCTGGCCAGAGCTCATGCATGTGCAACTTAACTTGCATGAGCGGTGGGTACTAGAACACATGCATGCTGGCCCACCTTGCACAAGGGCTGCGTGTGCGCATGCCAGCCCAGTGCTCACACGGTTCAGTTCCCGTCTCCCATCCCAGCCAGGACACCAAGCCACAAAGGTTGGGGACTGCTGAACTAACCAACATAAGCTGGTTATACCTTGCAACTATATACTTAGTTGTATAATGACTCTATTCTAAGATATCTTAAAATAAAATGTTTTCTGTTTCTGAATCCCAAGTTCTTGCCTTCTTCACAGATATTAGATTTTAAAAGATTTAAAAAGCTACAGTTTGCTGCAGAAACTGACACAGATTTTTTTTTAACAAGATACCAAATCCTGCCAAATTAACTATCTTGTAATTTGTGATTACAAATAAATTAAAAAAAAATATTTCTCCTAATTAGTATAAACATTAGGAAAGCACTACATAAAGTTGGGATGGTCTTATTTGACTGTTCTTATCAGAAGTGATATAAAATAAAATGATTCTGGTAAAATATGACACCTGAAGAATTATTTCTCCTATCATTTATACTCCCAATAAATAAATTCCTATTTTAAACAAGGTAAATTCTTATAAAAACAGTTCACCTCATGGTGGACTGCATGATTTAATTCACACCAAAATTATACTGTGAACTTTATCAGAAATTTATTTTTAGCCACTCATGCAGAACAGATTCTTTTGTATTAGATTGGCCATTCTTTGGTCTGATGGGCCACAAACCTCTACTGACCCCAAAAGAAAAACCCTCTTTTTATCAAATTTTACACCCAAGATGTCATCTAATAACTTTGTGTGAAATACTACAGATAGGACTGTAATTCGTAAATAATGTACTGGCCTATTAATCTATTTCTCATCAGTTTGTGTATTTAGAGAACCACATACCATTCAGTAACTTGAATGTATTAATACTCTGCTTGGACTGATCTTAGTGGCCAAAGTATTTTCTACAATAGGTCAGTTCAATGTGTAAAATCACAATTTTGTCAATGAAAGTCAATGTGGTAATTTTGGATTCCAATGTAATTTCTTCTGCATACAATTATTTTTTAAAATTGCAAAACCCAATTGTCCTTGAATACCAAGTGGTAAATTAATTTTGCTGAATGCTACAATGGAGCCATGTACATAAATAAAGTAACAGAGTAACATATACAACTAAACCTGGATAGAACAGAATAGCCTGAATACAGAAAGGACAAATCAGGATAGTAATAAATATCTTTTCTTTATAATTTAGAACAGACTTTCTTAAGATAGAGCAGGAAAATACCTTTTTGGGCATACAAAGTCATTTATTGATTGATGTTAGTAAAGTTTTTATTTAATTATTTTCATTAGAAGCACCTATAATTTATAGTAATAGTGGTCCAATTTCTAGCATTTGTATAACTCTTATGAACATACTGAAAATTATTATTCTATAAATGAATTTCTCTTGAAAAATGTATTCTCTGTGCAAATGTAATGAAGAAAGTCAAAATGATTTTTTTAACTTTTTTTCATTAGCTAGTATTAATGTGTGTGTGTGTGTGTGTGTGTGTGTGTGTGTGTCTGTGTGTGTCTGTGTGTGTCTGTATTCCATACTTCTTTTCCATACTTCACTTAGTCCTGATGCAGTTTTCTGCCCTTGTGTACATTTTAATTACAAAACAGATTAATACATCCCTGTGGCTATTTTATGGTATTGACTACTTATTGACAAAGTAGATTCACCACAGTTACTAGAGACAGTTTGAATTCTTACCGATAGCTGCTACTTTTATTATTATGGCTTGAACTTTCAAGGATATAATTTCTCTCAGCAATGTGTCTTGATTCTGACGCCACAGGTATGCTAAAGGCTGCAGAGCAAGCCTTTTACAACTGTTGGCAGAAAAAAAAAGATAGATGTGTCATTATAAACACAGATCATTTAACTTTCTGAGTAACACTGCTTAATTTAGAAAAATACAATAGGTATATACTAGTAAGAATAAAGAAAATGAGAGCTAAATGCAACACTGAATCCACACACTTCCACATGCAATGAAATTTTTCTGCTCCACACCTCCTAAACAATCTGTTGCTCAAGCCCCAATCTGTTATGGAGTATCTCTTAAACTTGCACAGCAGATGTAGAGGGCAACCATATAGATTTTAAGCATTTCTTCTTGCATCTACAAATGCATCTACAAATGCAAATACAAATAGTAGCTATCCAGTGACAACACACATCACCAATACTTTAAGGTCATCATAGCTCTTCACTTAAATCAATTTCCACCGGGTTTTTTTTCCATTCTACCCCCACCCACCCCCTTCAATCAGGGGCATCAGAAGAACATTAATAGGGAGACCATGCTTTCCCTACCTGTTGAAAGAAAGAAAAACCCAAGCTAAGACCCATCAATTGGTATTCAATTTGGAGAGGCCAAGAATATCTGAGATATGTTACCGGTGGTATGTTGGCACAAAAACAGCCTGCTTAAAAACACTAGCTTATAAAAATTGAAAACAGCAAAAAAAAAAAAAGGGGGGGGAGAAGAAGAGGAAGAGAAGATGGTGATGAGGGGGTGGAGCAGCACTAGCAACAACAACATGAATGGATTGTGAGAGTGGCAACGCTAATTGAAAGAGTAATCAGAAGCAAGGGTACACTCAGACAAAACAAATGCTGTGTTTCAGAGGAAAATAACTATGAAAGGAGTCAGACAAAGCTCTGAACACATGCACTTTAGAATGAAATGACACATTTAGCCAGATATTTCTGCATCTAGAAATCTGGTTGTAATTCTTTCCTTCTTAAATGATAGACTTTATCCTTTTTCTTCCCTGTAGCCCCATATTTCACTATACTGACAAAGAAAAAAAAAGCCTCGGGCAAGCTCCTTCCTTGCTTGCTAACCTCAGTGGGATAAGGAGAAATGTATTTATTTGGGAATTTAGCCAAATGCCCTCTGGGATTTCTTTTCTAGAGGTAAAGATTCTGGGCAAATGTTATGTGCGTTCTGACTGACATGAACCTCTGGAGATTTACTTGGCTAGGAGTGCTCATTACAAATTTGATTAATTCAAGCAATGCTGCCTCGGTAATATGTAATAAAGCAACTACCTGGAATTTGGAGAGTCAATGGCTAGCCATTGATTTTTTTTTTTTAAATCAACTTTATTTGCTACATTGGGTGTTGTCCTGAAAGTACAGTCATATGTATCATTGTAAGGCAAGCAGAAAAATCACTTTGCACCATTCCCAAAAATTGGTTAGCTACATGCTCAGCTATTAAGTTTTCATAATAAAGCATAGCATCTGTAGTAATCATACATTATCCCATACTATTCCGTCCCTTTCATTTTCCAAAAACGTGGAAGCCTTCTAAGGTGACATAGATTAGGCTTTTTGGTTATACCCAGAACATCCACAGAATGCATGAGATAAAAGAGTGATATTATTATATATTTCATATGGCTAAACTGGAATAAAAATGAAATATCAGAATGGCACGCAATTAGTTCCCAACTGTCTAAAATAAAATGAACAAGATTAAAAAAAAACACTGTAGCATTTCAGTACTATGTCAAAAGTTGCTAATTAGATCTTAAAATAATAGTGTAAGAAGATAAGTTTCATATGTTCTTTTCAAATAAAAAAAGATTTCTCCAAATAAACATTTTTCATGCATTCAAAGTATTACCAAACAGAAAGTATCATTTGGGACCACTATAGCAACATTATTTACCCAAGTTTAACTTAAACATCAAAATTCCCAACAAATGGCAGTAGAAACTCTGATGCATTCATTAGCATTTGTTCTTTCATTTCTATTGGTGGAAAGTTACTGTGAAAAAAGTAACTAGTTTGTGAAGTGGAAACCTGTGGTGAACACCCATCAGTGCACTTTCAGCAATGTATTATGATTGAAGCTTTGATTACTTAAGGTGCATCTTCAATTGAAACTCATTGCTGAATGCAGATTGTTTATGGTGATGACTATGTTGACATGAGTACTGTTCATTGCTGGGCCAAAAATGTACCAATGAACCAGGAAGAACTGATCAAAAAGAATAACGTGTAATAGCAACAGAACACAAGAAAAAGATTGATGAACTGAGTAAGGACAATTGACAGACCACTCAAACAGAAATTGCTATGAACAGTTCTTCAGACGTTTTGTGCAAGATGGCTTCTACCCGAGCTGACAGCACAGACAAAAGCTTCAAGAATTGAAATTTGCAACAATTCTTGTCCTAATACAAGAATGAATTTTTTTTACAGCATCATGATAGCTGCTGAAACATGGGCTCATCATTGTGATACGGAAATGTAGTGTCAATCCATGGAATAGAATATAATTGCAAAACTAAATAAATTCAAAACTCAGGCTTTGTCAACAAAATTCATAGTACAGATCATGTTATTCCCAGGGATCTTCTTGAACCGTGTACCACTGAACTCAGAACTTTATATTACAACACTCAAAACTCTGAAAGCAATGACTGAGTAGAGTTTGGAACCACAAGAAGGAAATTTTCCTGCAATATGACAATGTTAGGCTTCACAATTTACAAGCCATCCAAATGGCAGTTGCAAAGCATGTAGCAAATGCATATGATTATGTGAAGTAAATACAGGTGACAATAGATTACAAAAGGATTATTTTCATATTTCTTTTATCAAAATACCCCTATTAAAGTTATAGAAGCAAATGTTTTCTTTCAACTCTTACATGTTTAGATAAATTACTGCAAGGTTTAACAGGAAAGGATGGGCTTCATGAAATCTATATTGTTAGAAGACAAAAGCCCATATAAAATAGGAAACATATAGCTTATCTTCCCTATCTTGATAGGATTCCCATTTTTAAGAGTTCAGTCTTTTTGATTTGATAATTATATGTTTAGCACCATGCAGACACTTAATGAAATATTTAATGAAATGTTATTACTATGCCATCTTATTTGACATAAAAGCAATGTTTCTGATCTAGTCCACACCACTGAAATCAATAGCTCTGTATGGCATGTTGCCTTTACACTGTAAGCAACATCTTATTTTACTTACACATTTTCCACACGGACTCGTTGATAATCTGAAAGAATGGCCCCTACTGAAACAGCTTCCACCCCTTCTTTATCCTGCAAAATATGTATATATAAAAACAAATTTAAAATAAATCTGCAAAGCAGTAACAAAACATTCTACAGTACATAAATCAGTAGTCATTAACAAGAGATGCCTTTAACTTCATTCAGGTGGTTTATAGTGTACTTAGATGTGTGTGTGTATAAACTTCTTTGGATCTGGATAATATTTTATATAGTAAGTAGCAGTTTTATTATGTTACATACTTTGGGAATAATTTGAGAATTATAGTATATCCATTGCAAATTCTATTTTATATAAGCAACATACTATTGAGGTATTTTTAAAAAATCTTTCAATAGATTATTCTAAATTTAAGATTTTCAAATATTTGTTGTATATAATCTAATGTGTAAAATACTTGAATTGGTATTTTTTCGCTTATAAAGCTGTTGCAAAGCTGTATAATTGTAGTTTGTGACTTGATTAGTAACTTTATTTTATTCTTGTAAGAAACCTCAAGCATAAGTAGAGCTGGTCCTCATTCAACAATACATTGAGCATCTGTTTGAATTTACAACAATGCTGAACAAGTGGTAATTATGACTTGTCCTTTTACTTAGACCCATTGCAGCATCCCACAGGGACACAATTGCAATTTGCAATCTTCCCTGCCAACTTCCAACAAGCAAAGTAAATGGGAAAGCCAGCAAGAATTCGGAAGCTGTAGTTATGTGAGGCCCTACTTAACTACCTGCATGGACCTCACTTAATGAAAGTAACTGGGATTGCTGGAACTGCTGTCAACAAGTGGTACATCATGTGGCTTTTTGATTTGCCTATAATGAGAAGTGAGCCTGAAATGGATGCAGAATATCTTCCACTGCTTATTTCTAAAAGACACTACTTACTTTTTTGAGCTATAGGAACAAATGCTATTGCCATGGTTTGGAAAGATCTCTTCCTTCCCATGATTGCTGTGAAATGTGAACTCATATCAGTTCACCAAACTTTGCAAAACTGATGTATTAGATTTACAGCTTTAATTGAAAAGAAATGTTAAAAAAATGTACAATTAATCCTTCTGTTATTAGCACCAGACAAATATCATCAAAGCATGAGGTTAATTTTCCATTCAATCAGAAAGCAACATTGTTACTCAAAGATTAGAAAATAACACCAGCAAGATATGGAAACTATACAAAGATGAATAACAGTATTCATAGTATTGAACAACCTGTATAAGCAGTCATTAACAAAACAGAACAACAGGGAATTTGGGAAGGACCCAGATGTAATTCACTCTGTATATAGTCAAGCTATGGAACTTGCAACCACAAAAATAGTGATAATTATCAGCAGATTTAAAAGTGAATTATAGACATTCAGAGAGATTAGCTACTGATGGCTATTAATCATATTGGTACCTGGGGAACTGCTCTATCTTACTTATAAGCTTCCCATAAATATCTATTATAACACTTTAAGAGCAAAATATAGGGCTACCTAAGTATATTAACTGATTTAGCAGGATTTTCCATTATTATATTTCAGCTATATAAAACCTCATTAGAGTGGAGATGTGCATACTTTTCATTTAGTAACTTGTAACCTTCAAATCTCCCACCATCCCTTTTACAATCTGATAAGTAGGGAGAATCCTTTCTGAGTTTCCTTCTCTGCCCATTATGTAGCTGTGGGCTTTGCCCTCTCTCACAGGACCATTCCTGCAGACTCAAACTTGAGACAGATAAGGAATATTGTGAAAAAACCAACAAACAAGTGCAGCTATCTTGGAACTGTGAAAATGCATCTCATATTGTCCTCTGTCAGCTATGAAACACCTGAAATATTAGGAGATGTGATGCAAGGCCAGCACAAGGGAAGACGCATAATTATGAGTGACTTCCTTAGAGAAATGGAACCACTTGCTACAGTCAAACAATTTTCTAATTAAAAGCAAAGTTAAAGGAAGAACGTCTCTGAGAATATAAATATCAGGGATGTGCTCCTGAGGCTGAAATGTTTTCAGTACATTTTTTGCTGTGAGGTAATTCTTGAAGCAGTTATGCAAAGCCTTTGGGAGGTCATTCTATCTTAGCTATTCGAGGAACAGTTTGAAGGGGGACTTGGTTCATTATGACACACACTTCCACGTGGTTCACATCTTATCAATGCTATTTTTTCTCACACTTAAAAGATGCTCTATGTATTATATGACATGCCCTATAATGTTATGGCCTCCAGTGTATATAAATCTATGACCACCTCACCCTAAGATAAGCTATTCATTCTGTTTTTAAAAAAAAAATTCAAAGAAATTATAACTTAACAGTGTCATAAAAGATTTTTATTTTATGCTATTTGATGTTGTATTAAAAAAATTGAAGGATGGGTTAAGGCACTGCAATCTGCAGCACTTGGAAGAAAAAAAGTGCCCCCCAACATTAGCAAGAAACACATTTTTATCCACAATGGAAGAAAGGAAGTATTCACTTTACAATGTGATCAAATAAAGAACAGATAGTCCTCAACTTACAAAGCTTGTTTAGTGACCATTCAAAGTTATAACGGCACTGAAAAATGACTTATAACAGTTTTTCACAGTTATGACCTTTGCAGCATTGCCATGGTCACACGATCAAAATTGGCAACGGACTCATATTTATGATGGTTGCTGCGTCCTGGGGTCACGTGATCCCCTTTTGCGGCCATCTGACAACCAAAATCAATGGAGAAGCCTGATTCACTTAATAACAGTGTTACTACTTTAACAACTGCAAAATTCATTTAATAAATTCACTTGCAAACAGAAAAATTTTTCTGTTGCTAAGTGAATTTATTAAGTGAATTTTGCCCCATTTTACGACCTTTCTTGCCACTGTTGTTAATTGAATCACTGCAGTTGTTAAATTAGTTAACACTGTTATTAAGTGAATTTGAGAACCACCTGTATTACTGCTTAACTTATTTTAATCTGATGTTACTGTGTTTATACTTGCCACGAAGGAATACATTTTCAAATTCTGAACTTTCTCTGTATCTCCCTTTCCTAAGACAGGATAAAAAGTAAGGACAAGGGTGAATTCTGTCTCTTCAAATGTACATTAATGACAAATGAAATTCTCATTAACCAAGAACAAAAAGCTTCCAGCTATATTGATTTCAGAGAAAGTCTGTGGTGTGTACAAAATGAAAAGGGACTGCTTCAGGTACCTAGAACTTAACAAGTGCCCTTGCCTTCTAGCCTTGGTAAGAAAGAAAATGCTTAAAGTGCAGGAGAATTCCCAAGTCACTGGAAGATTCAGGTATCAGGAAGCCTGTACCTAGAGGGGAAAGAAAAAGCAAGAAGGAATGTAGGAAGGACCCACAAGAAAGCAAAAAAACAAAACAAAAAACCCATTTTGCTATAGGGAGACTTGGCTTTTGAAGAGGCAGAAATGGAGATTAAGAACGGCAGCACAATCAAATAGGCTTTGACAAATGCAACATAATGAGCCACCAAATTCTCATAGTATTTGTGTAGCGCAGGCAACAGTATATTTTGATGGAGAATTCACTAATAGGAATGTTTCAAAGCATCTTTCCTTAACTATTGTTGAAATAAACAAGAAATAAAATCATACTTTGTTTTATTCAAAGGTGAAATATACGGCATGTATACTAAATATAATACCCCTTGAACATCACAGATCATATTAATTCTTAAACACCAGAAAAAACAATCTTCTTTAAAACTGAATTTTGAAAAATATCTGATACAATCTGTGGTATTTCTTGAATTTTGCTTCATCTCAAAGCATCCAGTGTTCTTCATTTTTTATTTTGTTTTGCTTAACATTATTTTTATACCGCCTCAATTACACTGGGCAGTACGCAGGAGCTACAATGACGTTATACATAATTGCATAATTTTAATAATTTATTGATGTCATCTCTCTTTGTCCCCCTATGGATGCCCCTACAGTCACATATCCTGTGCATTATTTTCTGTCATAAAGCTCTAGTTTTTCAGGAAGAGATTTTCTGCAGGTGTGGATAGTGTATATCACAATCCAAAGAGATGGTTTTGCTTGTCCCCTCTTTCCATTACAAGTCCTTATATTTCCTTCAAAGCTGTCCTTAAAGGCTGAAGAACTATTGTGGGTGAGCTTCAATATGCAAACAGTCACATAACTAGAATGAGAAGGCTCTAGTTTCTGTAGAGTACAGAAAAGGTATCATTTAATAATTAAGGACAGACGGAACAAATGTTTTACCTGCTATATTGTGCTTTATTTAATGTTGTCTATGGTTTTACTTGATTAGAACACTTGTATGAGATATCAAATGTTAAAAGTTGCAACTATCACTTAAACTCACATTTGTTTAGGAGTTACTGTGAAAAATGAAAAGTGAAAGATATCAATGCTAGATCAACCACAAAGAATTCTGTGGAATCTAGATGAACAAATTAATCTTCGATTTATGATGAGTCCGTGAAAGAAAAACCAGATACATACAATACCTCAGAGCCACACCACATATAACTGTATAGGTATTAACCAGCATATCAAATTGGGCCTACAGTGATAGGCCAGTGCAGCAATTTCAGGACAGGGGTAACTATTTATAATGGGTTTCCCCAACTGTCAGTCTGTCTGCTTCATTTTGCACCAGCTTGAAAAATATACTGCAAAAATATATGGCCCTTCACTGGTCTTTTCTGATGTCAAAAAACTAATTTGACAGATTTGGTTAGTTAGACTTGAATGGGAGCTCAACAAGGAATACTACACCAAAAAGTTTTTTTAAAAAAAAGAAGGCAGCAAGAGTAAAATACTTCCTTTTGTTGACAAGAAATCATTACAGAAATGTCCATGAAGTCACTGAGAGTTACTAGAGTTTGTATTTTATTTTCCATCCCTGATAAGCTTCTCCTCCCTATCTTTGCTTACAAGATGTCAACATTCTTCCAAGCACAGATGTATGAAGCAGACATATCTGTATATCCTTCAGATCCTTCATATATGAAAGGTTTTTTTCCCCTGCACATATTAATGTGACTCTTTGA